TGGGGGATGTTAGGGTGTTCGATTATTCGCCTTTTTTCCAAAACCGGGTTTCAAGTTATTTGAAAAATTGAAATTGGAAAAAACCTGTTAAACCGGTTTCATTTTACATAGTTTTCATACAGTGAAAATGCTTACATTGCTACAAGAAGCAGAACACGAATTGAAGAAGCTCGGCCAAACACATAGAAAACGCTTAAGCGACAAACATTCATTTATTTGAATCAAATATGATATACGGTTCCTCCCCAAATAACATATGCTATAATTTTGAAACTATTTTGGGGTTTTAACTGGAAAACCCCTTGAAAACTTGGAAAAACTCAAAATTTTTCTGAAAGGTCAAGATTTATATGAAATGAAAAAATCGGTTTGTTCGATAAAAAAAAAAACAGTAAAATCCAGGGGCTTTAACGGTCATGATATTTATAATAAAAATCAGAATTTAACAGTGCCAATTGGATTTATTTTTCTCTGATCAAATTTAAACGTTAATTTATTCAGATTTAACTCTTTTGAACATAAAATACTTAAATCGGTCATAAAAACGCAGTCCCCATCATAATGGTTAAATTGATTAAAAAAAATAAAAATCAAAAAATTACGATTTTGTAGAGATCTAAATATAAAAATCTTGATATTTAACGGTTATTTTCGTTCCCCGGTAAAATCAAACTCTTGGCTTAGAATGATAGTACACTTTTAAGTTACCTAGAAAATGCTTCGTCGAGTTTAGAAGTTTTTTAAGTAAAAATAAATACTAATGGCCTTATTCATAAAAAATAAAGTAGGTTTAAAGAGCTCGTCGACGTTTTCATATATTTTTCAATTTATAAACCATTTATAAAGCTACTTTATTTTTTATGAATAAGGCTATACGATTTTTATTTTTTGATCATTGAAAAATAGTAATTTTTTTATTTTAATTTTTTCGGTAAGGAATAATCGTAATTTTTTTTTTTTTTTTGTAAAATTTATTGGTTTTAATTTTTTTTTATCAAGAATAATCGTTATTTTAAATTTTTATTTTTTAAGCCTTCGAAACCGTAGTCGGCAGATTTGTCGACAGAAATAATGATGGACAGGTGGTCAAGCCTTAGGGTTAGCAAAGATACCCAGTTATGCTTTATTTTTTTAACCGATACTTCATAATAAATATTTTCTTTCGCCGCAGGTGAACACTTGACTGAAGAGTTCAAGCAAAATATCAATCGTTTCCAGCGTGTGCCCTGCATTAATGATGATGGTTTCAAATTGGCTGAAAGCATTGCCGTATTAAGGTAAGATAAAAATCAACTCAAAGGTATGCAAATTTTTATACCCGAGCGCACTTGTGCACAAGGGTATTATAACTTTGT